AACATATCAAAGAGATTCCATAGACCCTAACTTTTATCTTATTTGAAAGTGTAAGGCATTACATTCCAGGTGTTATTCAGTTGGTCAAACTACTGGGCTTTAAGCTATCACACTTTATTCTTACACCACAGTTAAAATACAAACAAAAATAAGCATTGGCATAACTTCAATTCTATCAAAATAATATAATATTTAACTACTACTCATGACTGTTCCAATATAGCAGTATCCCCTAAACACAACCTTGGGAAAGGCAAATTCAGCGAAACAGATTTGTTCAGGTGCTATCTCCAGTCTAGCAGAAAGGCAAAACTGGAAGAATGAATCTAACTGCAGGCAGAAGTCAAGCATTTTGTAGCAGCAGAGAGAAAACTGTCTTGCAGCTTCAACCCAAAATCCCAGCTTCATCAACTGAAAGCAAAACTAAAACCCTGGGTCTGTGTGAGCCTGACTCCACCCACTCATGCTTCTTTTGTCTAACTTTAAAGAAAATCCAAAGCTATTTACTCTGCTTTACATGGCACAGATACCTTGTCACTGGGTTTACAACACTCTTCTTTGAGAGGAACAGTACAGAACAAATCCCTCTTAAAAGGCACATATTGTCACATCCCACTTCATCTATTAACTTGCTATTCTCTCTGCTAGTCCCAAATGTATCTTCAATTCTTTTATGAGCCATAGTGTTCATCTTCACTATTCTGTCTTGTTTCCCACATCCCTGCCTCATTAGTTTAAAGCCCTCCCAATAGTATGAGGAAAGAGCCCCACAGGAACTCAGTCTGAGCTGTGTACAGGCACAACGCATCTGGTTTGTACAGCATGAAATTAAAGCCAGAAACAAACTTTCTATCTAGAACATTTATTTATTCAATTTACAACAAGGATATGTAATTGAGACACTTTTCTCCTTTAGTTTTATACAAAAAAAAACTATTATAAAAATGGTCAATTAAGCTAACTATACTATTAAATACAACAATATACAAGCAGTCAGCTATATACACATGCATGTTCATTGGAAAGATAAACAAACAGCAAGATAGTCATTTTCAGAAGTAAAGACAATACACACTGGTAGGAGATAATTGCAATCTTTTAGTGACATGACTAGTAGTCCTTTCAATATTAATAAATGCACAACACTCCAATACAATCAATAACTAAGTGCAAGTGCATTTTTTGGATCCCACTTTATGAAACATCAGAGCACAGCATACCTCAGATAGTGTAATACATTGTTAAAAGAGTCCAAGTGAACACTAGGAACAGATATGGGTCATTCACCCCTCAGCATGGTACTGTCAATCAATTTGATCGTGTTGATCTGTACTTTAACTCCTTGCATACACTTCTCTTCCACATCATTAACATCCTTACTTAATATTCCATTTGACTCAGCATCCAGAATTTGTTTGGACTGTGAGTTCCAGTTTTCAGAACTCTTGGGAATGAATTCAGTAGCACATTTTCACATGATCTGGCTCTCATTTCTGCCCCCTCCCCCATTCCAATATTCAGCTGGAGATAGGAACGTACAGAAGGAGCACAGCTCTTTGGTGTGGGAAGGAATTTGAGAACACCTGGGAAAAGAAGGTACCATACAAAGACAATATCACAACAACATTTTTACACTCCTTTTCTCACTCAGCATTCAGCCACACTGCCAGGCTACCAGGCAGGAAAACTGGCAGTCAGAAGTCAGAGTTTCAGACCGTTAGGGCCAGTGTCTATTCATTGGGAAAGAGTCAAGGATTGGAGGTGGAGTCAGAGACTTGCAAATGAGAGGTTGACATCAGAGTTGTAGGATGAAGAAAGCAAGAAGGATCAATCAAGGGTCAAGAGGAGTGACTAATCATACTAAAAGGTGTTGTGCAGATCGGCCGAAGGTTAGGTTGAGGAGTTAGGGGAAAGTAGTCTTGGTCCTCTAAGAGTGCTATGGAGAACACCAACCTTCTGCAACCAGTTGCTCCCATCCACATTTTAACAGCCTGGTTTTTCCAAACTTTGTGAAACCCATCTGTCAACCCTCAAATAAAGAAGTAGGCTCCCAAGAAGGCTGATTTAAACATTACAAATGCAACCCACTGCCATTAAAAAAAAATCAATTGACCCAGCATCCACAGCCTTTTGGGAGTTGGAGATATCTTCTACTCTGTAAGGCCCTTTCTGATTTATCTCTGAGATGATTGCTAGCTTATTCTGGGTGTTCCCACTGGAGAAAATAGTTTCATTATCAAATGCCCTAATCATTTTAAATTCCTCCATTAGGTCAACTGAAACTTCATAAACTCAGTATTATAAACTAAATTTATGTAAACTGTACTCATGATTTAACCCTTTAACCTGTGGCCTGATTCTGACAAATGCATACAGCACTCCGTTCAAGCCTTTGAAGGGAAAGATTAGCCTTAAATAAATGGAAACATATATTTAATATTCATGATATATGCATGGACACATTGCAATGCAAAGGCATGTTATTGCACAGGTATGTATCCAACTTGTGCTAATGCATGCCTACTTTAAACCAGACATAATTTTCATGAACATGAATTTATAGTTTTTTTTTCAGAAGCAACATCTACTACATGTGGATAAAGAACATAAGCTAGTTTATGAAAATAAAGATTTTCATGAGTTCGTTAAGATAGGGCTTCTCATACTGTCAGTTGTGACCCTAAGCAGAAAGCAGTAGGCATGGTCTTATCTGCCAAATCTCATAGCCATAGACCTGTTCTTAAAAATAGGTAGGTGCATTTTACTTAAAAACCCTTAAGAGTCACTTCAGAGTTGAAACATTAACCGTTTCTCTCTCCACAAATCTGCTGATTTTCTCCAGAACATCATTTTTATTTTGTCATTTTTAAATGCTGCCTTCCCCCGTTCTGACAAAGGAGAGTTAAAAATTTGACCCTTTGTGCTTATTGCTGTTCATTCATTTATGCATGGGCTGTTGGCATTGCAATAGCATTTACTGCACATCTCAAATGGTCCTCCACCAAGCTAAGATCAATCTGTTAGAATGCAACTTATCACTTTTCTAGGCTATATCCAAGGGAAAGATTTTTGAGGGTCTGGAGTCATACAAAGGCCATGCAGATTTTCTTTCCAAGGGAACTTTGGTGAATCATTTTTTATGGACCAAGAATGAAAGATCAATAATTTATGAAGACAACAGCCACCAGTATATGATAATATCTTCTCAATTATTTCAATCAATCTTCTTAATTTTGGTGTGACTTATAATTAATCTAGATTGAAGTGGAAGATTAATGACTACATCTGCATTTCCTTACAGTTCTTTCTTGTTTAAGTACTCAGTATTATTAGGGATATGGGAGTGTGGTGGTCATGTTATCGAAATCAAAATCTACCCTAGTCAGTCATGCGGTCAGATTCCTTCATGGCCGTTTGAAAATGTGAATTCAAATTTAAAAAGGGTCTTCAAATACAAAAAAGAAGCTTAAATTTCACAAAATGCAACTCTCTCTTAAATGTCAATTATAAATGAAAAACTGCCACCCTTACTTCTTCTGCCTTATGATCAGACTCCATTTGTATACCAACATGCTTGGAATGCAAATGCTCTCTGAAGTGGACTTGCAAGTCAGACCAGTGTATCAAATTCAAAATGACCAGAATGGCACTGATCTCACCAGTAACATCCATAACACTGAAGTATTTGATTTTTTAAAGACAGCACACAGAATCTCAGAGATACATTTCTACACTGTTGGCTATTCCATTTTGTGATTGATCACTAGTGCAATGTAAATTCAGGGGAAGGGTCTGAGGAAGATTCTGAGGAAGGGTCACCGGACCCGAAACATTAACTCTGTTTTCTCCTCCACAGATGCTGCCAGACCTGTTGAGCTTTTCCAGGAACTTTGTTTTTGTTCCTTGTTCATAAATTCAGGGGGCCTCTTCCTGAGGATTTCTTTCCTTTGTCATGACGTGGTGTTTGGTCTTCATTTGATGCTCCCCCACAAGCATGGAGCTAAAATTAATGGCTCCTCATATAATTTAGAATAGACTTTGGATTGTATCACATCCGTTCCATAGCATTGACATTAATCTGTCACATCCACATGTTGGCGTAGCAATCTATACCATTCTGATTCTTTATTGGATTCACCAAACATCAATTAGCGAGGAACCCCAGATGGATCCAACCAATGATAGATGAATCAGAGTATCCTTTGGCTTCAATTACCTAATGACACTGCAGAAATATTTCAGCTATTCATACCCAATGAATTGTCTCATCATAAGCACGTGTTGCAAGCTGTAGCTGGTTGACACCTGGATAAATACTCTGAAATAGTTCAAAATTTAAGCAGCTAACCAATTCAACCACCTCTCTCCATCACATCCTATCCAACCGTGCTAGATCAGTTATTAATTGTTCATTTTAAATCTGAGATTGATAACTTTTTGTGGAACAAAAACATATTAAAGACTTATTAAGGGATATGGGCCAGGGGAAGCTATATGGAGTTAGGCCACAGATGAGCCATAATCTTGTTGACTGGTGGAACAGGCTGGGGGTGCTGAATGGCCTGCACCTGTTCTTATATAACACATCTACAAACTATTTCATGACTTATGTCTTGTAATTTGGGTTAATTTAATTGTGTAAAAAGGACAAATAAATAAGGATGCAACATCTTCACAAGAAAGCTTCTCCCCAAACTAAATAAAACAATTTTTCAGATATTGCAATGAATTTCCCTGTCCAACAAAATGCCTCTAGAGACAAAGAAAAGAACTTGGTCTAAATTGCAATAACTTCCTTAATCTAAATGTATTGATTTTGAAAAACAATTTTGGTTTAAACTGAAAGACAGAACTGGATAAAATGCTTTAAACCAGATCAAAATGTACTTTTTCCCTCAGGAAATAATTATGTTAGTAATGTAATCTCTCAATGAATAATCATGAGAATGCAACAAAAATTCATGTTAATTCTTCTATAAAGATTTTCAGATAGTATTTTGTCTGCCTAAGAAAGCTTTTAAACAAGAATGCATGCAAAATACAAGTTAACAGCAACTTTCAAATCAATTTCCATCATTATTTTCTTAAAGCTATTAATTAGCTACTGCACTTAATGCCAAGTAATTAAATTTAGATTATAAAAAAATGCTCATTGCTAACCACCATTAATCTTCTGATATTAATACCGTCACAGATCAAGAACCTGGAAGGCATTCACAGATTACAATTTACGCCAACAACAAAAACAGAAGAATTCAAAAGCTTTTGTTAAATTGAAATGTATACAGTATAAATAATGCAAGATTCAAGAGTGATTTCCAAGCCACAGTCTAAACTGAGAGTTTACTCCAGAGATTAGTTTACTACTGAGGATAGTTTTAAATCATTGCTTGCAGCATTTTCTGTACACTAAGATATTGATGACAAATGAGGGAGGTGGAAACTTAAGTCTCTAATTAGTAGACATCAAACTGATAGGAAAAGCATTAGCATTTACATAGAATGACTGTCAGCTTAGCTGTCATTTTTAACCCTGAATCAATAACAATTAGTTGAATTAATTAGTATTTCATAGGGACCCATCTTTGGTGAGATTCAGCCCTTCCAATCTCCAAAGGGTGTCAAAGCCCATCTGTCATCAAGTGTCACTTTTAGACACAGTTGTGCAGCACACATGGCTCTTCCTCCTGTAGCTCTGGACATGGAGTACCACTGTTGGCCGGTTTCATTCGGATATAGCGAGTGCGGCGCTTCACACCCATCTCTGTGCATTTCCCCATGCACAGGCCCCAGGAAGACCAGGTGGAAACTTCACAGTCCAATGGGGTCTCTGTAATGAATAAACCCGTCAGTTGTAATCATAGATTCTGGAAAAGATGTTGTTGCAAACGGAGGATTTTTTTTCACGTTTTGATGTAAAGGGCAACTCAGTTTGGTCTTGAAAATCACGGTAATCATTTAGTTGGTAAAACTTCCTACACTTCTATGTATTACTCATTGTCAAAACTTTCTCAAACATAATGAATTGCTTTGAAGTGTTATGAAGATAGCCAAATCCCATGAATACATGGATACAGAAACATTTAAAATAGCAGTTGGAGTAGGCCATTCCATCCTTCACATCTGTTCTGCCTTTCAATAGGATTGTGGTTGATCATCTAACTCAGTATCCCTTTCCTACTTTTACCCCATACCCTTTGATCCCTTTAGCCTTAAGAACTATATCTAATTCCTTCTCAAAACATTCATAATTTGGCCTTAAATCATTTTCTGTGGCAGAGAATTCCACAGGCTCCTCCATTCTCTGGGTAGAAAAATTGATCCTTATCTCAGTCCAAAACGGCCTAGCCGTATCCTTAGACTGTGACTCCTGATTCTGGATATGCATGATAAATATACTTCTGGCGATGTTGCTGAGGAGTATTGCCCAAGGACCCAGGGTAACCCTCTTTAGATATTGCCACACCAGTAGATCTTTAAAGACCACCTGAACATATGGATAAAAAGACAGCACTTCTGACAATGAAGCATTCTCTTCAGCTAAGAGTTTTCACTCAAATCATTTTTTTGTTGCATCATTTTGTAATTTATGCATTTTATTTCTCAAGTCAATATAGATTTGCTCAAGAAGAAACTATCTAGACTGTTGTTTAATTCCTAGCAGCTGTGGAAGTGCAGAGTTATGGGTAGTCCACCTATTTCCACCTTCCTAACCTCAAGGTCTAGGGTAAATAAAAAGAATTTCGGCATGGAGAAAAGGCAAGCCACATCTCATAACTCTTAATCCTGCTTTGACAAATTTGGATAATAATATGTTTTAATTTAGCCAGTAAATCAGAACTTGAGATCTGACTCAACGCAGTGTGGAGCTGGAGGAACACAGCAGGTCAGGCAGCATCAGAGGAGCAAGAAAGTCAACATTTCAGGTTTACACCCTTCATCAGTGTAAAACCGAAACATCAACTTTCCTGCTCCTCTGATGCTGCCTGCCTTGCTGTGTTCCTCCAGCACCACACTGTATTGGGTCTGATTCCAGCATCCGCAGTTCTTGCTATCTCCTTGAGATCTGACTGTTGATCCTTTCCCCCTTCTACAGAAGGTTATGTAAAGCCAATCATACCTCATTTGGGTACCACCTTTGTTTATATAATTTACCAATTACCTCTCTCTTTGGCTGTTGCATTATGAGATTTTCTACTGCTTTATCTCCCTTGTCTTCTATCCCATCACAGGCACTCTGTCTTGTTCTTCCTGCACCCTGCCCTGTTACACTGGCTTAAATCTCTTACATTTCAATCTGTCTTCAGTTCTGATGGAAGATCAATTGTCTGAAATGTTAACTGTTTCTTCCCACAGAAGCTGTCTGAGACTTTCCAGCAATGTTTGTTTGTTTCAGATTTCCAGCATCCGCAGTACATTGCTTGATATGTGAAGCAAGTGGCCAGAAATAGGAGTACATCTGTGTGTTAGGAGGTTTTTAGAATAGAGCAAAGGATGCTCAAGAAACTGGCGATGAAAAGAATAAACTAAAAGAATAAGCAATCTAGCAAAAAAAAAACAAGAAATGGACTGTAAAAGCTTCTGTATATAAGCAAAGGAAAATGTCTGCCTAAATCAAATGCGGGTCCATTACAGGCAGAGTTAGAAGAATTTATAATGGGGAATAGAGAAATGACAGAGAAGCTAAGTTATTACTTTGTGTCAGTTCTCACTGAGGACGATTCAAGAAATTTCCCATAATTAGAGTTCCAAGTGACATTCCAAGGGAGAATGATTCGAAGGAAATTTGTATTGCTCAGAGAATTGTATTGTAGAAATTAATTGGGCTGGAAGTTGGTAAGTCTCTGAAACCTGATGGTCTACAGTCCAGTATCAAGGAGGTGGCTATAGAGATAGACAATACATTGACAATCACCTTCCAAAATTCTATGGATTCTGGAACAATTCCTGTAGGTTGGAAACTAGTAAATACTCGAATCTATTTTAAAAGATCTGACAAATGGACACTTGGATAATAAAGGACCTAATTACTAACTATTCTATTTTGTTGTATTACTAACATAAATTGATAAATGGACATAGTATATTTGTATTTTCAGAAAGCTTTTGATAAGATCTTGCACAGCAGGTTGGTTAGCAGAATAAAACCTCATAGGTAATGGGGATTGTAGGGTAAAAAGCTCTCAAGTGTTCAAATCAGCCGTGATTGCATCATTTGGGACAGCATTCTTGATGGGCTGAATATCCTACTCCTGTTCCTATCAAATATATACCAAAAGATACATTATAAGTGAATTGAGACCTTCACTAATAATGAAGCTACTGAAGAAACTACAGCAATGGAGGACAATAATTTGAGAACTTCAAGTTTAATGGGTCAGCTCATTGCAGTGATCTTGCAAGTCATAATAGAAAGAATTAGCACATTTGAAACAGAAATTGGTAAAAAAAAACAGGTTTCACTTCCTTCGTAGACTATGAAAAAGCATTCAAATCAGAATGAAATCACCACAAGTTGAGAAGTCTTGCTGGAATATGATAATGTCAGTAAAGATGAGAGATTTATCCACATACTGGGAGCAAATTGCAAAAAAAAGACTAATAAAGGGATAACCAAATATATTTCAAGTGAAGAGAGCAGTAAGTCAAGGTGTTAGATCATCGCCAAAATCATTTATTCATTAATATAGGTCAAATACTCAGTCAGATGCATAACAATTGAAAGCAAGAGCAGTATGCCGACAATACTGTGCTATTATAGAATCAGAAGAGGCCATACAGAATATTGTAGCCAAGGAAAGAATAGTTTTGAGTTTCATCAAATATATCTGGAGGAAGTAGGGAGAGTGAAGATTGTAGTGGATAGTGTCATATTGGAACAAGTTTCCTATTTAGGACAAATGAGAACAGAAGATGCCGATGCTTTGCAAAAGCAAGGATAACAACAGAAGTAATTTTGTGAAGATTAGGATGTGTTAACAACAAGAAATGAACTCAGCAGATGCTACTTCTATCCACTTTCCTGGACATCTGAGAAACCTGGTCAATATCTAAAGGATCTTTGGAAGAAAATAGATGCTACTGAAATGTGGATGCTAAAATGTATGCTAAAAATTCCATATACAAGTTAAAGGGTACTTGAAATTGTGAAAGGAAAATATACTCTTAAAAAATGACATCCAGAAAACAAAATGTCAGCATTTGATGAGAGCTAAAAAAAATGTAACAGTGGTTGCAAATGAGATACAGGGATGTAAGAGAATGGCGCAAGACAGACAAGTGTAGCATATCCTGACTGCAGATCTCCAAGCAGGAGTGATGGCTGCAGTAATGAAGAATCTGTAATTTTGCTGATTACTGTCTGCTTCTTCAAACCATGATGCTTTTAGTTGTAAACTGAATTCTGGTGCTTTATTGGTTGTCTCACTTCAATTGAATTAATAATGTTACTTGTGACTCGATGATGCCAATGCTGAAGACTGGATGAAGATCTGCCCCGAATCCCATTTTTCCCATAGGCCCCATTACAAGGATGTTTCCAGTGTTGGAGGGTTTGAGCTATAGGGAGAGGCTGAATAGGCTGGAGCTATTTTCCCCTGGAGTGTCGGAGGCTGAGGGGTGACCTTATAGACCTTATAAAATCATGAGGGGCATGGATAGGGTGAATAGTAAAGGTCTTTCCCCCAAGGTGGGGGAGTCCAAAACTAGGGGGCTCAGAACAAAGAACAAAGAAAATTACAGCACAGGAACAGGTCCCTCGGCCCTCCAAGCCTGATCCCCATCCAGATCCTCTATCTAAACCTGTCACCTATTTTCCAAGGATCTGTATCCCTCTGCTCCCTGCCCATTCATGTCTCTGTCTAGATACATCTTAAATGACGCTATCATGCCCGCCTCTACCACCTCCGCTGGCAACGCATTCCAGGCACCCACCACCCACTGCGTAAAGAACTTTCCACGCATATCTTCCTTAAACTTTTCCCCTCGCACCTTGAAATCGTGACCCCTAGTAATTGAGTCCCCCACTCTGGGAAAAAGCTTCTTGCTATCCACCCTGTCTATACCTCTCATGATTTTGTAGACCTCAATCAGGTCCCCCCTCAACCTCCCTCTTTCTAATGTAAATAATCCTAATCTACTCAACCTCTCTTCATAGCTAGCGCCCTCCACACCAGGCAGCATCCTGATGAACCTCCTCTGCACCCTCTCCAAAGCATCCACATCCTTTTGGTAACGTGGCGACCAGAACTGTACGCAGTACTCCAAATGTGGTCGAACCAAAGTCCTATACAACTGTAACATGACCTGCCAACTCTTGTACTCCATACCCCGTCCGATGAATGAAAGCATGCCGTATGCCTTCTTGACCACTCTATCCACCTGCGTTGCCACCTTCAGGGTACAATGGACCTGAACACCCAGATCTCTCTGTGCATCAATTTTTCCCAGGGCTTTTCCATTTACTGTATAGTTCGCTCTTGAATTGGATCTTCCAAAATGCATCACCTCGCATTTGCCTGGATTGAACTCCATCTGCCATTTCAGGTTTAAGGTGAGAGGGGAAAGATTTAAAATGGACCTGAGGTGCAACTTTTTTATGCAGAGGGTGAACATGTATGGAATGACCTGAGGAAGTGGTGGAGGTGGGTAGAATTACAACACTTAAAAGCATCTGGTTGGTACATGAATAGGAAGGGTTTAGAGGGATTTGGGCCAAATGCTGGTTTATGGGACTAGATCAGTTTAGAATATCTGGTCAGCATGGACAAGTTAGACCAAAGGGTCTGTTTCTGTGGTTTATAACTCAATGATTATATGGCTAATTAAAATCATAGACTGATTTAAAGTGTTTTACAACTTACCTGACACAATATCATCTATCTCATTACCCATGGGAATGAGGTTGGACTGGGCTGGAATAATCCCAATTAACCGGTTGTCCTTCAGCTTTGTCAATGTCACCCTGGCAATCGGAGGGAGCTGTTTCAGTCTGGGATAGAAGAATGAGTTTGCAGGGTGGCTTGGTGAGCTTGATGTTATCTGAATGAAGCAGCACATTCAATAAGTAAAAGTCAGACTAATGGTAGTTTTCTTGACCCATTATATTACAGCTAACCAATGCATCCTCTATTTCTTTATACTTATCTATCCAAATGGACTGTTTATTTTGGCAATCAACAGTTAAATTGACAATCTCTGATGACCCAGGTAGAAATATCTTGTGCATTAAACACTAAATCATAATACATTAACCAAATTTCAGTGAAGAATTTCATGATTCGGAGAAAAATAACAGACCTATATTCATTCACAGGATGAGGGCATTGCTGGCTAGGCAACATTTATTACCCATCCCTAATTGCCCAGAGGGCAGTTAAGAGTCAACCACATTGCTGTGAGTCTGGAGTCTCATGTAGGCCATACCAGGTAAGGATGGTAGTTTCCTTCCCGAAAGGACATTAGTGAACCAGATGGGTTTTTTAACAGTTCAGCAATATATAAAATGACCTATATAAAATGTCTTGGATTATTAGAATAGAATGGCTCCAGAAATACCAACAGAGACTTAAACAGACTCACACGCATATAAAATCATGACCCACATACAAGCAAGGAGCAAGAACAAGCCATTCAGTCCCCTTATCCTGTTCTGCCATTCAATAAGATCATAGCTGATCTCACTGTTACCTAATACTGTATTTTTGCTGACCCTGCAATATACTTTCACTCTCTTGTTTAATCAAGAAACTACCTATTTACATCTGTATTAAAAATATTCATGGATTCAAGAATAGAACTCCAAAGAAACATGGGGAGGTGATGGCCTAGTGGTATTATTGCTGGACTGTTAATCCAGAGACTCAGGTAATGTTCTGGGGACCCTGGTTTGAACCCTGCCACAGCTGATGGTGGAATTTGAATTCAATAAAATATCCGGAAATAGGAGTCTAATGATGACATCAACAACAATCATTGTGGATCGCTGGGGGGAGAAAACCCATCTGGTTCACTAATGTCCTTTCGGGAAGGAAACTACCATCCTTACCTGGTATGGCCTACATGAGACTCCAGACTCACAGCAATGTGCTTGACTCTTAACTGCTCTCTGGGCAATTAGGGATGGGTAATAAATGTTGCCTAGCCAGCCACACCCTCATCCCGTGAATGAACATAAAAAAACTCAAAGAAATAATTTCACCTAATATCAGTTTTACTTGGCCAAACATCGTCTCCACATCCGTTTAGTCAAGACCTTTCAGGATCTTGAATATTTCAATCAAGTCATGTATTACCTGCAAAATACACCTAAGGAAAACAAGAATCAAAGTACTAATTGAGGGAGGCAGTGGTGTAATGGTAACATCATTGGGCTAGTGATCCAGAACCCTGGGCTAATATTCTGGGAACATGTATCAAATCTCACCATGACAATGAGGTAACATGAATTTGTTTAAAAACCTGGAATAAAAACTAGTCGAATTGTGATCATGTAACCATTGTTGTTAGAGAAGGGAATTTGCCATTTGCACCTTGTTCAGCCTACACGTGACACCAGCAATGTGGCTGACTCTAATGACCAAATAGGCCTGGGTAATACATGCTGCCCACATCCCGTGAAAGAAATAATGAATTTATTGGAATTCCTGGAAGTGGACAAATGCAATATACCAATTTGTAAACAAAAATGGGCTTTATATTATTTTAGTCAAAAATTTTTCCACGGTGTACAATGCTGCTCCTTGACTCCAATCGACTCCAAACTGTGATGGGGTGCAGTACCTTGGCTATGAGCTGCCCCTCATCTTTTAAGGGCCCCAAGCCATGATGGTATACATGCTATCCTCCAGTATCTCAAAGTGCCTTTTCTTCTTGGCCCTTGGCAATGAGCATCAGAAGGCTATTTTCTTTACAATGGATGCATCACAGCAAAGATCAACATACATCACTACATGGCCAACTTTAGCACCTCAACTACCACACCATGTATTTCAGCACATTCCAGAAATCAAGCAGACAATCCTCTTGGACTGTACAACACAATTGCTGCATTTATTAAAGAAACAATTGGTACTTTTAGAAAGATAGATAGCATGAATATTTTTGACCCGGCAACAATCATTGACTGAATTTATGTTAAAGTACTTATACTTTTATGGATATCATATAGTTACCTCAGTGACGGTCTCCTGGGGAATGGTAGCAAAATTTGGTGAAGAAAAGGTGAAACCACTGTCTGTCCCAGCATCATAAGGATGCAGGTCTATAGACATTTGCTCTTTCCAGTTATCTCCTTCACACAGATTAATACTGTCACCTCCTACAAACCAGTCTGGACTTGGTACAATTCGAACCATAAAGGACATCTAGGAATAAACAGAAGAAATTTGAAATTTTATTAATCTTTATATATTGTGATAAAGTAAGCAGAACAGGTTGGATAAAGAGGCTGAGAATGCATTACTAAACATCTCAATCATGAGTAGTGCTAGTTGCTTAAGGATTTATTTTGAAGTTTTGTTCAGCTAGCTAGTAGGATAAGTAGCTAATTAAACTACTAGATGTGACAGGGGAAAGTACAATAGAGTCCAGCATTTTGCTATTCTTAATTTTTTTTCTGCATTCAGTTCTTTCCTTGTTCTTTTTACTGAAAAATCAATTTGTGTTTGTACTAGTCTTGGAAAGATGCTGAGTCCACCATCTGCTTCTGAATGACCTTGCTGAATTCACTGAGGCTCACCACCAACAAAAATTTGCTTCCAATTATCACAGACTGTGCCAGAGGCTGTCAACACTTTATTCCAATTGGTAGAAAATGAGAATAAAGCCAGCAGTGTCAAAGAAAATCAAAACACAGCCTACAATTAAGGTGTTTGATTTGAAATAGGATTTAAAGCAGTATGAGAATTTTAAATGTTACCAGGACCCAGGTTCTCAGATATAGTGTTGCAGGCATAGGGAAGTGCAAAGATAGCCTCATTGCCATTTTTAATTTTACACTGAGTTTGTTTACTCTTAATTATTCACTAGCAAGAAAAGACTACTATGATCATCCAGAAACTCCTTCTGTGGCTATAAGATCTGAAAGAAGCACAACAGCTGCCTGTTATTTTGAATAGCTGCAGGGATTCAAAAAAAACTTCCTAAAAAGCTAAAATGTGGATACACAACACAAATCAGCCACCTTGTGGGAAACAAGACAGAACTAGGTTTTAAAAGGAATTCCCCCTTTGTGAGTGGAGCCAAAGACCCTTCATACTTACTTAGAAATTATATGGATTGGGAGTACAGTTTTCATAATATCTATTTGTTTAAATATATGTCATTGCTTTGTATGGTGGATTTAAAAATTGAATGCAATTTTGAATCAGATTTGACATCTAACTATCATTAGTTCCCTGAATGCATTACTACAGCGGAATCCAGATTCATTCTTGTAATAAATGCTCGAGTGTCAAAAAGGTTGCAATCGCAAACTTAAACAATCAAGGACTTAACCCTATTTGCTAATGTTAGTTAAATTTACATGACTTGTTTCTTTTATAAGTACACTTTTTTAATATATTCTATCCTAAAATAATTTTGCTAGCTTGGAAATTCCTATGGTTTGACAGTGGGGGAGGAGTAAAACAAGGCAACATTTCATTGCAGGACCCAGTGATCTTTACTAGTGATAGACTAAGTTGTGAATAGTCAAGTTTATAGGCATGAATGTGACTCTTTAGGCAACTGATAAGCCAAGACGGGATGATGTTACGAAGTTCAAAATAGGTGGGTTTAATGTGACACCAATGAGATTGAAAGCTCATCTTTGGGTTGAATCTTAGAATAGAATAATAATTTACTGTTACTTGTATTTTTACTAAAAAGTACAGTGAAAAGTGTTTAAGTTACCATACTTCGTCATCTATACTAATAACAGAAATCATATATAAACAAATTAAGTCATAGTCCATGACACCAAAGATTGGGAATAGACTGGATTAATCCCAGTCTGTTGCCAGGGAAAGGGATTGAGTCAGTATGTAGGGAACAGGGGGCAAAGCAGGGACCTAAACTAGGACTCCAGTCTTCCCAATATTTAATTTGTGGAGACTTTGATTCAAACACTACAGGATGTCAGGATAAGCAGTCTAATAGTTTAGCGATAGTTGAGAAGTTGAAAGAGGGAATGGTAATGTAGAGCTGGCTATTAAGAGTGCATGTGTGAAAACATAACTGAGGTGATGGCTTAGTGGTATTATCACTGTACTGTTAATTCAGAGACCCAGCTAATGTTTTGGGGACCCAGGCTTGAATCCCACCATGGTGATAAAAATTTCAATAAAGACCTGGAAATAAGGGTCTAATGAAACCACCATCAGTGAAACTATCTGGTTCATTAATGTCCTTCAGGGAAGGAAACTGCCTTCCTTAACTGGTCTGGACAATATGTGACTCCAGACCCACAGCAGTGTGGTTGGCTCTTAACTGCCGGCTTGGATTGGCAACAAATACTAGCCTAGCCAGCGATGCTTTCATCCCATGAATGAATTTTTAAAAAGCTTTTGATCAAGATGAAAGGGCTGAATGCATAAAAGGTACAGCACAGTTTCTGGGAAAATTGATTCTTCTACATCCGAACTATTTACTTAATCCTCATTAGAGTCTGAGCTATCTTAATAGAAGCCAGAATGGAAGTTCCAAGACCTTAAATAGTTATATGAAAGAATCATCTTCCTCCAGAACACTTCCAATTTGGGACTTTTTCTTTGACAATTGCAAAACAGATTTTAAAAAAATTGAAAAGATCTGATTTGACATTCAGCATTTTGAAGTTTCTGGTATTCATATGCAGAGATTATTGTTTTCCAGTAAAGAGTGTTTCCTTTTCTAATTTTACATTTGTGTTTCTGTTGTGGCCGCTAAACTATCAGCATTACATTAACCACAGGATTTATGTAATTTTGAAAAATTCATTCAGGAGAAGTGGCATTGCTGGCTGGGCCAACGTTTATTGCCCATTCTAACTGCTCTCAAGAAGGTGGTGGTGAGCTGCCTTCTTGAACCATTGCAGTTCATTTGGGAAAAGTACATCCACAATGCTGTTAAGGAGCTCCAAAATTTTAACCCAGTCACATTGAAGGAATGGCTATAAATATTTCCAAGTCAGGATGGCGAGGTAGCTTGGAGGAGAGCTTGCAGGTGATGTTCCCATGTATCTGCTGCCCTTGACAGTGAAAGAACTGTGATATATTTGTCAGTCAGATGTTAAGGTAATCATTCCCACAATTCTGGAATTCAGCTGTTTTGTCCATGTTTGAGTCAAGGCTGTAAGAAGGTCATGTTCTGAATGATCCTAGCAGAACTGAAACTGAGAGTCAGTGAGCAGGTTCTTGCTCAGCAAGCGCTACTTCATAGCACTGTTGACTCTCCCATCAATTTATTATTGTTTGCAGTACTATTGCTGGAATGTTGCAAGTGCCCATGCTTTTTGCAATATCCAGTGCATTCAGCAATTTCTTGATGCCACTTGGAGTGAATCAAATTGGCTGAAGGCGGGTATCTGTGTTGCCTGAGACCTTTGACACATAGAGAAAGCTAAGATGGATCATCCATTCATCTCTTACAGTCTTCATCCATAAGTGTGAAGGCTGAAGCTTTTATGCTGGGCCCCCATCATTGAGGATGGGGACATTTGTGTACTTTCTCCCCCAGTGAGTTGTTTAATTATCCACCACCATTCACAACTGGATATAGCAGAACTGCAGAACTTTAATCTGATCCACTGGTTGTAGAAATCACTTTACTCAGTCACTTGCTTCTTTAGCCACTGGCATGCGAGTAATCCTTTATCTGTTGCTTCAACAGGTTGGCACTGGGCTTAATTGTAAGGGTAGTGTGAGGGGTTTGTCTGGTCATGAGGATGTAAATTGTAATGGAAAAAAGAACAATGTGCAAAGGTTACAAGGTGAAACAAGAAGAGCACTAAAAAAGATATGCTTGTTTAGCTAGCCAGAGATGAGCCAAATGGCCTCCTGCTGCACAGTAACAATTCTGTGATCTGAAATGGAAATTCTACAAAGCAAAGTAGTTTTTTTTAATCTCTCGGAATGCAGTATATAAAAAGATTTGAAGTAATGAACAAAATAGGTGAGTTAGTGATACCATAGCAGCTCATCATTGTACTCATCTCTACACAAACACAGTGAAGTGTTTGGGAAGGCAAGTTACCATGGTAACGATGGCCCTTGCAAACAAAGAATTTTCATACTGACATCTCATCTACAATTGAAAATAGGATTCAATTCTGAACAGCAAACAAAGCAAATTTACTCTATTCAGAACATATTAATGTCAATTCTTCCGCTCCCAAATGGAATTAATTATGGAGAACTCAGCTGTGGTGTTGACGGGATACAAAACCGAATCTGCAAGTAGAAAATAAATTGTTTCTGCTGTACAAAGCTTTTGAGGAAGCAAAATGTAGCCAGTTTGCCATTTTTTCAGATCTATAGAATTTCATGGTAGTAATGCTGTCCAGGAGTTTGGGATTAATGACGATATGTCCTAATTTATGAATTTCCATCTATTAATAGATGTAATGAAGGGGGCAACAGCAAGGAGGAACACAGCCCTTCAGCAGGAAGATATCTGAGGTCAGGTGCGAATTGGGAGAGAAAACTGTGATAAGGACAAAGAAGATAAATGTCATCTTGAATGGGGACATGGGTGGGAAAGAGTGACAGTGTAAATGGAGGAAGTGGGAGAGAAATGAAAGTACTGCCATATATTGAGCAGAGCTAGTTCATAGCCACAAAAGACTCTCCCATTTCTCTATATGAAATAAAGCAAAGGAAATTTCCAGCAATTCATGCCATAATTTTCCACTATTTGAGTGAGATGATGTCCAGTAAACCTGCAGCTTCACCCACGATAAACTTAGCAACCAATATTTAGGACAGTTTTATTTTTGAAACAGCCATTTTTTGTTTAGAAACTGCTAAACCAAATTTGCTAGTTTACCATGTTAGTGTTTATGAACTAGTAGATCTTCTCTTTATTCATTAACGGGATGAGGACGTCGCTGGCTAGACAGCATTTATTGCCCATCCTTAATTGCCCAGAGGGCAGTTCAGAGTCAACCACTTTGCTGTGGGCCTGGAGTCACATGGATGGCAGTTTCCTTCCCTAACTTCGAAGTGGGCAGACCAAACTATAAAACCTACAACTAAGTTCCAGCAAATGAACATAAATGTGTTGTCTGAAACAAAAACAAATTGTTGCCGAAACTCAGCAGGTTTGGCAGCATCTGCAGGAAAAAAGCAGAGTTAACGTTTTGAGCCTTGTGACTTGTCTAAGTCATCGGACTTGAAACATCAACTGC